AGTAACTATTAAAGTAAGGTGTTACTTTTTAATTCAGAAGGAAATATCTGAGTCACTTTTTCAAATAAGTAACAGTTACTTAGTTTCCATGTGTTGAGTGACAGCTCTGGTGTTGCCACGGTGACAGAAATCAGGAGTAAGAGCAGAGTGTTGTTATGTGCGTGTGTATGTGTGAGTGCGTGTGTGTGTGTGTGTGTTTGTGTGTGTGCGTGCGTTCTTGCGTGTGAGTGTTCGTGTGTGTGTCATTGTTCTCTCTACTCTGTGTAGCATGTCCCAGAATGCACTAGGCACTCGCTCATTATACGTGTTGTGGTTTCTGTTAGAAGTGCTTGTTTTCCAGCTGCAGGTATCGGAGCTCAAATATCAGTCTGTCATTTTCTGTGAGGATTCTGAATGATTTCTGCAGTGCTGACATTTCTGTTGATCGATGGACTAGAATCAATCACTCATTAGTCGTGTCTGAGTCCAGAAACCTCAGCGTGCTGCTAATGACTCGAATCCTTCACTCCTATCAGCATCAACATCTCGTTTATACTCTAAACTAACACTTGCATGAAACAAGCTCACAGATCAGGACTTGAAATCAAGAGAAATGCCAAGAAATGGACTAGTTCAGCCAAAAATGGAAATGTGCTCACTCTCAGTTCATCTGAGATCAGGATGAGTTTGTTTCTTCATCAGGTTTGTAGAAATATAGCACTGCATCAGTGTCTCAGCAATGGATGCTCTGCAGTGAATGGGTGCCGTCAGAATGAGAGTCCAAACAGCTGATAAACACATCACAATAATCCACAGCACTCCAGTCCAGCAGTGAACATCTGGAGAAGACAAAAGCTGAAACTAATCCAGCATTAAGATGCTTTTAACTAAAATATGAGTCCATAGTAACGCTTCCTTTGTATTATGATTGAGGAACATGATGAATCAAAATTTAATCTGGATACGTGAGCCTAGACTGCACTTCCTGAGATCCTCCTGCGATTACTAACCATCCGCAGACGGACTCTCAGCTGTTCCTGCCAGAACTAACTGAGTTGTTTTCTGACCGCCGAATGCTGGATCTTTGGCTCGGGCGGTTAGGAAGCGTCTCTGGAGGGAGAGACAGGCTGAAGAGAGGCATTCTGGGAGGAAACACTGCACCGTTTGAGCTCAGCGTTCAAAGGTCTCAGACATACAGCAACTAGACGAGCAACAACTGCAACTGCTGCGTTAAACTGACTTGTGCGGGTGTGTGTGTGTGTGTGTGTGTGTGTGCGTGCGTGCGTGTGTGTGTGTGTGTGTGTGTGTGTGTGTGTGTGTGTGCGTGCGTGTGTGTTTGTGTGAGTGTGTGTGTGGGTGTGTGTGAGAGTGTGTGTGTGTGTGTTTGTTTGTGTGTGCGTGCGCGTGTGTGCATGCGTGCGTGTGTGTGCGTGTACTGGTTTATATATCCTGGTGGGGACTTAAACCTGAATACACACAGACTCATGGGGACTCGTGTCACGGTGGGGACCTAAATTGTGGTCCCCATGGGTACAAAAGTTTATAAATCACACAGAATTAAGTTTTTTGAAAATCTAAAAATGCAGAAAGTTTCCTGTGAGGGGTAGGTTTAGGGGTAGGGTTGGTGTACGGTTGAATATACGGTCTGTACAGTATAAAAACCATTACGCCTATGGAGAGTCCCCACAAGGATAGCTGACCAGAAATGTTTGTGTGTGTGTGTTTGTGTGTGTGTGTGTGTGTGTGTGTGTGTGTGTGGGTGAGTGTCTGTGTCTGTGTCTGTGTCTGTGTCTGTGTGTGTGTGTGTGTGTGTGTGTGTGTGGGTGAGTGTCTGTGTCTGTGTCTGTGTCTGTGTCTGTGTGTGTGTGTGTGTGTGCAGGATTGCTCATTATACATGCACACACACGCGCCTCAGGAGATGTTGCTGACCTGTGTGTGTGTGTGTTTCCCGAGCAGAGCCCGGAGTAGCACGAGCGCTGAAGTTCCTCCAGAGGCCTCAGAAGGTCACGGCTCTACAGGGCAGAGATGCGGTTCTAGAATGTTCCGCCTCCGGCTATCCCACCCCATCCTTCTACTGGATGAGAGGAGAAGAGATGATCCAGAGCAGGTGAGGAGAAACACTCCGCTGACACAGCATCATAAATGGCTGCTAAATTCAGTTATATCTACACTGCCTTTTAGCACTCTGGGGTCGGTAGGACTTTTTAATGTTTAAAAGTCAGAAAAGTCTCATCTGCTCATCAAGGCTGCATTTATTTGATGGAAAATACATTAAAAGAAGCGACTCTCTTCAGCTGTGGTTTTCTCTTCTTCGTCTGATGGTGTCTCTTGTGTCTGCTTCTCCGTCAGATCAAAGAAGTACTCTCTCCTGAGCGCCAGCAACCTTCTGATCAGCAGCGTCACAGACGACGACTCGGGAACGTACAGCTGCGTCGCTCACAACAAACAGCAGAACATCTCCGCGTCCTGCCAGCTCTCCGTGCTCGGTGGGTTTATTCCTCAGCTCGTCACAAAACACTGACTCATTACATTCTGGCGTCATTCACTCACCTCACTGAAAATCTTACAAATCTCACTCACACTTCATCATTAGATGCTCACGTATTTAACAAGTTTATGATCGTGATGCAACTGAAAGAGATTGTGATATCTGACTGAGGTGAGAGGTTTGGAATAAGTTTTCTGCTCACCAAAGCTGCACTTATTTAATCAAGAATACTGTAAAAATAGCTAATTATTATTACAATCTAAAACAGCTGTTGTCTATGTGAATCTCTGTTAAACTGTAATGTATTTCTGTGATGCGCAGCTGTATTTTCAGCATCATTCCTCCAGTCTTCAGTGTCACATGATCTTCAGAAATCAGTGTAATATGCTGATCTGCTGCTCGAGAAACATTTCTGATTATTATTAGCACTAAAGAACAGTTTGTATACACTATCATTCAAGATTCTGGAATAAGTAAGATTAAAAAAAATACTTTTATTCATCAAGGACGCATTAAATCGATCTAAAGTGACAGTAAAGACATTTAGAATGTGACAAAAAAAATTATATTTCAAATAAATGCTGCTCTTTTTAACTTTCTCTTTTTAACTTTCTTTCAAAGCATCACGGTTTCCACAAAAATATTAAGCAGCACGACTGTTTTCAACACTGATAATAATCAGAAATGTGTCTTGAGCAGCTTGAGCCGTGATCGTCTCTTTAGTTCCAGTCCGTGTGGATGAACACGTCAATATTCATGTGTTGTTCTGTTGAGTTTGTGTGGGATTAGAGAGTTTTTGAGGAAACTTTCTCGGGTTTGTTTCATCTTCCTTTGTGAAGTTCTCCGTTTGATCATTAGCTCTTTGAAATGAGGTTTTGTTCTTGTTTTTATTTTGCCATCCATGTAAATCCTCTCTGTTCATAATCAGCGCTGATTACGTGAGATTTTCACAGCTTTGTAGATGTTTAGTTCGTTTTATAAAGCAGATGGTTTGGATTCTGTGTTCTGATTGGATGCTGGCAAACACCTGTGATACATTATTCATCAGTTAGTTCTGCTCCTCAGATCTGATTGGCTGTTCGTAGATCAGCTCAGGTTTCAGTGTTTCTGTTCAGCTTCGTATTGATAGATTGATTCAGATTTATTGATTGATTGATTGACACAAAACCTGAAGCTTCAGCTTGTTTTGCTCTGAAATATACGTTAGTAAACCACTCAAGCTTGTGTGCTAGTTAGTTACCAGCCCTTTAAACCCCTAACCAGACCAACTAAACTAGACATTATTTTTTCATTTCAGTTTTAGTTTCAGTAATTACAGTACTTCAGCTGAAACTTATTTTCTGTTAGTTGCCAAGTACGTGTAATATTTGATTTTATGTCAGCTTTATTTCAATTAACAGAACATTTTTAATCATTTTAGTTTTAGTTAACAATATCAGCACGACGTGTCGCAGAGGAGACTAACTCTAAACACAACTTAAAAGTTATTAAAACAACCAGCAATTAAAATAGTTTTATCATTTTTATGTAACCCATTAAATTCATATTAAATGAAATCCTCTTTTTGTAAGTCGTTTACATTATTATAATTTAATTCAATTTAAAATGAAAAAAAATATATAAAATTAAATATTTGAATGAAATATTTATTTAATATTATTAGATTAAACATTTATATATATATATATATGTGTGTGTGTGTGTGTGTGTGTGTGTGTTTCTGTAAATATTTCATTTTGTATTTTTTTATAAAAACAATAGGTTAATAATCAATAAGAAATGTATTAAAAAAAACATTTTTGAACCTATGTCTCCATTTCTCAAAACACAATATCTGTTAGTTTTGAATGAAGTGTGTAATGCAGAGAACTGTGTTTAGAGTTTTGCAAAAAGTTTGTTTTAGAAAAGCAAACTGAGTTTAAAGCACGTAATGTGCTTGTAGTTTTGCAGACTTGTCTAAAGATTCGGTATATGAGTGAATTGTTTCACTGAGTGTTTTAATATTCACTGATTTTTCCCCCATTACAAAAACAAATTAAAATAATAATAATAAACCATGTTGTGATGTAACTTTGCAGCCTTTATATAGTTGAAACAAAAAGAAAATGCTTCATGTAGTACAGTATGTAGTCTGTCCCTGTGTTTCGTCTGGGATTCATGCCCGCTGCGCTTTCTGTGTGTTTTCTGTCTGAAGTGTGTTTTTGTGGCGTTGAGATTCCAGAGGATCCTGTGGAAGCAGGTGGTGATGTTCTAGTGAGGGACGCTCAGAGCTGAAGGATTCACGCATGCAGTATTCATGAGGCCTCCACAAACCCCATCATCACGCTCTGTTCAGATGCTCTGGATGGACACTAGTTAGTGCCCTCGAGTGGAGAGCTTTCTGTGTGGCTGAGAGAACAGATGGAGTGTAGGAAACAGAAACATACAGCAATTATTTCACACGACACCTGCAAATCCTTTAATTAAACCTAAGTTTTGTGGTCAAAAACTTCCCAGCACTTTTAATTGGTTCCTCGACGTTATAGCATCCTCCGCTGCGCTTGAAGTGAAATATTCAGTGCGTGTGTTTTGGTATTTTAGCTCTCCAGACGTCTGTTCTCCTGAGAAGACGTTCAGTGAGACGCTGAATAAAAATATCAGCATTTATTGAGAGTAATGATGCGTTAACGGCACATTTCGTTAGACGTCCTCTCTTTACATCTGTTTTCTCATCCGGACGAATGTTACGCAATCAGATGCATCGAACGCTCAGGCCAAACACAGCACACACTTATCAGGAATCGTAATCTGGTGTCTGATTAAAATGCATGAGTGTGACAAGTGCTGGCTGGCGGAGATCATTTTTTAATCATGAGTTTGTTGCTGCTTTTGCATAGATATGCACAGGTTTGCATGGATAGACAGCTGAGAGAGGATGGAAAACAAGGATTTCTGATTGCACAGCTTTCATTTGGCGAGCATTTATTGTTTTCAGCGTCCGTGATCACGTGAAACAAACCTGAAGCCATCAACGCTGAAACTTTACAAACAGCATCGATTCTGCATCTGTTGCCTCTTAAAGGTACAGTTTATCATTTACTTGCGCACATCATGTTTTTTTAAACCTGTATGACTTTTTCTTCTGTGAATGTAAGACTCTTCCTGCAATGACTCTCCAAGCCACTAGGGAGCGCTGTCTGCTCCCTCATGCAATGACTCTCCCAGCCATTGCTGGGCACCCCCTGCACTTTACTGTGAGAACTCTCCGAGCCACTAGGCGGCACCACCTGCTGTGAACTCTTTAATTAAGACTGCTCATCATGTTAATTTGTTTTACCTGTATTTTGTCCTATTTAAGTTTGACAGTTTCATTGAGCTGTATTCAGTCTTGAGCCTACCCAGTACGGATTACCTGAGTTCTAGAACAGTTAAGTGATGTTTTCCTGTTGCCATTTTGCCTACATTATGTTTTGTTTTGAAAAGCTATAACTGATCTTTTGTTTGTATTTGAATACTGAGATCAAGAAAAGACTTTAAAAGCCTGCTTTTGAGTTATCTGAGCCTCCGAGTTTACCTTTCCTTCTGCACATGGGTCTACTAAGAAACTGTCTTCTCCAGTAGACCAGAGGTAGAGAACTAGCTTTCACTGACTGGGAGACCTGGGTTCGAGACCCACCTCAGACACCTTATGTCAGTCCATTGTGACAGCACCCTGGCACTTGTATTCTCTCTGCCCCAGAAAGAGCCTCTATGGAGGAATATATCAACAAGGCTGTTGACAGTGGATTCATCCACCCTTCAACCTCACCGGCAGGAGCTGGATTTTTCTTTGTGGGTCTCCGACCATGTATTGACTACCAGGGTCTAAATGGTATCACTGTAAAAAATCGTTACCCGCTGCCATTGATGACTTCAGCCTTTGAACTCCTACAAGGTGCAACTATATTCACCAAACTGGATCTTAGGAATGCCTACCACCTGGTTAGGATCCATGCCGGGGATGAGTGGAAGACTGCATTCAACACCCCAACTGGCCATTATGAGTATCAGGTAATGCCCTTTGGGCTAGTCAATGCCCCAGCCATCTTCCAGGCATTCATTAATGATGTTCTACGAGCGATGCTTAACCAGTTTGTATTTGTTTATCTTGATGGCATCTTAATCTTCTCCCATTTTTACCAAGATTATGTCCAGCATGTCCAGGTTTCGTCTCAACTGTTAAAGAACAATCTCTTTGTGAAGCTGGAGAAAAGTGAGTTTCATGTACCAACTGTCTCCTTCCTTGGGTTCATTGTCTCCAACGGCAGCATTCAGATGGATCCTGACAAGACCCATGCAGTTCTGAACTGGCCTCAGCCTTGCTCTGTCAAACAGGTACAGTGCTTTCTTGTTTTTTTTTGTTTTTTTTATAGGAGATTTATAAGAAATTTCAGCTCTATTGCAGAATCCCTTACAGCCCTTACCAAAAATACCTCAAGGCCATTCAAATGGACAGAAAGGGCTGCTCAAGCGCCGATTCACCACCACTGCACCCATCCTGACCCTCCTTGATCCAGAGTTGCCTTTTGTAGTAGAAGTGGATGCGTCAGATGTTGGAGTGGGAGCTGTTTTGTCTCAAAAGGCCAAGAGGGACAATAAGCTTCGTCCTTGTGCTTTTTTTTTCACGTCGACTCACCCAAGCAGAAAAGAACTATGATATTGGTAACCGGGAGTTGCTGGCGGTGAAGCTGGCACTGCAGGAATGGAGACACTGGCTAGAAGGGGCCAAACACCCATTTGTCATTTGGACAGACCACAGGAACCTCACATACATCTGGGAGGCTAAAAGGCTGAATCCACGCCAGGCCCAATGAGCTCTCTTTTTTAACCGCTTTGAGTTCATTCTCTTTTATCGACCAGGCTCTAAGAACTCAAAGCCTGATGCACTTTTCGAGACAGTTTGACACGCCAGATGTGGAGGACAGACCTGAGCCCATCATTCCCATCTCCCAGGTGGTAACAGGGGTTCAGTGGGGAATAGAAATGATAATAATGAAGGCTCAATGACAACAGCC